AAAACTCGAGAAATTCTTTTGTATCTATACATATTTTTACTCATTTATTATTATTTTTTTTTCCTTCTTGGTATTCCAGGATTCCTCTATTTATCATTTGTTTCTGTTTGGAGTTTCAGGGTAGGTCTGTTGGTAACAAATTTTCTTAGTTTTCCTTCATTTGTCCATGTCTTAATTTTTTCTCTTTCATTCCCGAGGGATATTTTGCTGGATAAGAATTATGGGTTAATAGTTCTTTTCTTTCAACACTTGAAGAATGTTGTGCCATTTTATTTTGACCTCTGGCTTTGGATGAGATTTTGGCTACCATTTGAATTGTTTTTTCCCCTATAGATAATGTGTCATTTCTTGTTGCTATCATTATTTTTAATTTTTAGTTTCTCACCATTTGGCTGTGATATGTTTTATCATAGACTTCTCTGGGTTTATAATGCTGAATGTGTTCACTAAGCTTCTTGAATGTGTAGGTTTAAGTCTTTTGCCATGTTTGTGAAATTTTTAGCTATTATTTTTTTCAAATACTTTTTCAGCATCACACTTAACTTCTCTTCTGCAGAGTCTGATTATATGAATGTTGAGTATTTTGTTTTAGTTGCACAAATCCCTTAGTTTTTCTGTGACTTTCTTGTTTCTCTCAAAGTTTAGATTGGGTAATTTTTCTTCCTCTGTCTTCAGGTTCTGTGTTTCTTTCTTCTGTTGACTCCATTATTTTGTTGAGTCCATCCATCGCATTACTTTGAGATATACTAATTTTCAGTTCTACAATTTTCATTTCTTTCTTATTTATGTCTTTGTTTTTTTTTTGCCAGTACTTTCTGTTTATTTGCTGAGAATTTCTATTTCTTATTCTTTTTGTGTGAGACATATTTGGAATTGCTTAATAGAGCACTTTTTATGATGGTGCCTTTAAAATTCTTGCATAAGTCTTCCATTTCTGTCTAACTGCATATTGTATAATTATGGATTTTCTATTGTTTCATAGGTCTGTTTGTCTATTCATGTATCAATATCATTGATTACATTGGTTTTCTAGAATGTTTAATATATGATAAGGCAAGTTATCCACTCCCATTCCTACCCCAACCCCATCTGCTTTCTTTTATAGTTTTCTATTCCCAGGCATTTATTCACCCATATTTGAAATCCTTTGCCAGCACTAGCATACTGCCTTTTCTATACTGGCAACTTAGTAACTGTTTAGTGATTTGAATTTGCCTACCAGAGGTTCTAGTTAGATTAATTTACATCTTAGTAGAAACTCCCACACACTGGGTGCAGTCTGGTTAATTCCACAAGCATTGAGCATCAACTCTGTGCCCCAGTATTGGACTAGATGTTAAGAACAAAAGGCGAATAGGCCATTTCAGCATAATATTCCAGTAGCCACAGTAGCACCAATAGAGGTATTCACCAGAAGTTTTGGAAGCAGAGAGAAGAGCACTTAGTCTAGCAAGAGGTTTGTGAAAATCTAGAAGAGCAAATAGGGATTGGCCAAGGAAAGAAAAGCAGGAAAGGCATTTCAGATATTGGGAAAGGCAGAAGCAAACCAAAGTATATGAAGCAGTTTTTGGTTACTAGAGTCTAAAGGGCAAGGGCTGGAGTGGATGCAGATGAAATGATAGGGCAGACTGAAATTATCCCAGAGGCAACTGGGAGTCATTGAAGGTTTATTTGTGTATTTATTTAGTTTCTTAATAAATATTTCAGATGTAGCTAAAGATATAAAGAATATACAATGAATATTTGTGTTCATAACTCAACTCAAAAATACAATAGTACAGATATATTTGCGTTTTCAGTAATATCTGTCCTCAATTGCATGCCCATTTTTCTCTCTCTGAGCTATTGTCTTAAAGTTGGTGTTTATCATTTTAGGCATTTTTATTCTTCTATTACATAGGTATGCTTCACTAAAAATATATATATTATTGTTACACATGTTTTTGAATGTTATACAAATGGAATCATACTGTACTTTTTTTTTTTCAACTTGCTTTTTTCTCTGAACGTTAGAATTGTGAGATCCATGTTGATACATGTAGCTATAGTTCAGGCATTTTCCTTGCTTTCTGGTATTCCACTGTACAAGTATATGACAGTTTATTCATTCTTCTGTGGATGGACATTTCATTGAAGAATTTCTAGCAGAAGATGACCTGGGCAGATTGGTATTTTACATATACCACTTAGGATTGGATGTGGAGGATAGATTTGAGGTTGTTATAGAGCAGTGGCTTGCAAACACATTGTACTCCTTTGCACTCATAAACATTATTAAGGAACCAAAAGGGCTTTTGTTTATGTAATTTATATTTATCAATGTTTAACATATACAGTAAGACAAATTTTTAAAAATATTAATTTATTGAAAAAATAATACGCCCATTACATGTTATGGGCTTATATATATAAGCATATATAGCAATTTTTAATGAAAAATTTCAAACCAAAATCATTTAATGAAAGAGTGACGTTTACATTTTTGTAAATCTCTTTAATGTCCAGCTTAGTAGAAAATGGCTAGAAGAGCAGTCTTGCTTTCAGCCTGTTTGATATCATGTCATGTATCCTTTGGAAAACTCTACTGCACACCCATGAGAGAATAAGAGTGAAAAAAGCAAAGAATATTTTAATATTATCATGAACTTAGTTTTGGCCTCTTATGTGCTCCGGAAGAGGGTTCCCTGGACCGTATCTTGAGAACAGCCGGTGTAGAGGAGATACTTTGGAGGCTGTCATAGTAGTCTAGATGAAAGATAATGAGTGTTCTGAACCAAGGCATTGATAGAATGGATGGATGGATGGATGGATGGATGGATGGATGGATGGATGGATGGATGGATGGATAAAGGGAGATGAATATGAGAGTGATTTAATAAGAAAAATCATAAGGTCCCAGAAGGAGATACAAGGTCAAGGGCAAGGGGAATAATTGAGTTATGGCTGGGTATGTGCTTCACAACCAACCTGTGAAATAGATATTTAGCTAGAAAATGGCAGAATTTGAACGTAGGTTTGGACAACACAAGCTTTTTTTGTTTTGCTCAAGTTAGAGTTAGAAGTAGTTATGGCAAGGAAGTGATACCCTACTTAGAGATAAGAGAGAGGATGGGTAAGACAACAGAAAGATTTTGAAGTGAAGAGGAGGGAAGGAGAAGTTTATCAACTCTTTAAGGTGGTCCAGTTCAGAGTTATAATAATGGCAGACAAGACGATATGGGTGTTGGGATAGTGGAAGAACTAAGAATGTTGAGCCACTGCTAGGCTAATTGCTCTTAAAGAGTTGGGGTTGAGCTGAGCAGGCAGTGGAGATGTCCAGAGGAAGAAAGGCCACTTGCCAGCTTTGATTTTTGCCTTGGTACTGCAGGATGGATCCATGCTGTGCTGACCCCTGTGGACTGCCTTGCCTTTGGAGGGAACTTCTTGCATAGCCTTAACATCGAAATGCAGCTCAAGTAAGTCCTGGAGCTGTAGTGATTCTGAGTTGGTCATTCCTATCTGCTAGAGTCCTTGGGCTCTCCCCTAAGATGAGGAGTGTATTGTACAAGGAGGGAATATAGAAACGAATGGGTCCTGGTTCTTTATGATGTTCAGTTTGAGGATAAACACCTTTTCCTCATTTGATAGTTCTGAGACTTTGGACAAGTAATATAACTTTTGAACCCAGTGTTTCCTAATGTATAAAGTAGGGTCTTGGGGGGTCATTGTGAGGATTAGATATACAAAACATCCAGAACAATACCTGATACATAGTAGGTGCTTAGCAAATGGATCCTTGTTTTTGTGTTATGCTTCCTTATTCTAGAGCTTATGAGATTGAGAAGCGGCTGAGCACAGCAGACCTCTTCAAGTTTCCCAACTTTGAGACTATCTGTTGGTATGTGGGAAAGCACATCCTGGACATCTTTCGAGGTATGGAGCCCTTTTGCAACTGGCTCTTTTGCCCCACTCCCGTGTGTGTGTGTGTGTGTATGCATGTGACTGTCACCTTGGTCAAGATATGATGCTGTTAAATCATCACAAAGATCTCACTATGTAGATCAAAACATGATGTTGTACAACTTAAATATATTTTTTAAAAACTGTTTTAAAAAAAATCTCCCTAATGCTACCCCTTTATAGTTCACCTACTTTCTTCCCCTTCACCATCCATAACTTCTGGAAACCACTAACCTGTTTGCATTTAAGTTTGTCATTTTAAGACTGTTGTATAAATGGAATCATATAGTATGTGACCTTCTTAGATTCACCTTTTTACTCAGCGTAATGCATGGCTGGGTATAGATTTTAACCGTTTCATTAAGCAAGGCTAGCTGAGAAAATTGGGTCATAGTAAAATTATCTCTATTTCCTGTCAGTTAAGGTGAGAAGCTCAATCTGGATAGTCTGAGTTTCCTGGATGTCCTTCCCATGGGGATAAGGCCCAGTCCCGACCATCCTGGCATTATCATATTGTTTCTGGGTATTAGCCCAGATGGAAGCTAACTTACTTGTTGGGTTACCTCTTTCCTGGTCTGCTCTGAAATAGAGCAGGTCCCTTGCTTAGGCCTGAGATTCTTCAAGTGGCTTTTTCAAGAGGAATCAGTATCTTAAGAGTTAAAAATAACCTCAGAGGTCAGTGAGTACAGTCCCTTATCCAGTACTTCAAGTCCTTATTCTGCCACCTAGATAGACTTTCACTAAGTGTTCAGTCAGATGCTGGATAACTAATTGCTCATTACCTATTCTAAACAGCTCAGTTCAGTAGAAAATTCTTTATAGAGCCTAAATCTGGCTGTTTGTAATAATCATTCCCTGAATTCAGGCAGAACACAGTACATCCATCTTCTACATTAATGGCTCTTAAGATCTTTGTAGGTAGCAATCATGGTCCTCTTGAGAGTTCTCATTTTGCAACTCAAGAGGCAGGGTAGCATGATGGAAGGAGCACAGGCCTCAGATTTAAATAGAAATTGGTTCAGTCTTGGCATCTGGTACTTACTAGGTGTGCCCTTGGCAAAGTCTCTTTGCCTCTCTGAGCATCAATTTCCTGGACTGTAAAATGAAGATAATAATACCTGGTTTATGTGATAAGCATGAGGATGAAATGAGAAAATAGATGTCAAATGCCTAGCACTTAGTAAATACTCAGTAAATTAACATGATTAGAAGAATTGAGGTTTGGAGTTGTGTTCAGAAACCTGAGCATTTTCTCAGGTTACCTAACAAAGCTGACAGTTTCTTCACTTCCCTGCATGGCTTCATTGACACTTTGCTTTCCTCTTTCTCCCTTTAGGTTTGCGAGAGAACAGGAGACACCCTGCCTCCTACCTGGTCCATGGTGGCAAAGCTTTGAATTTGGCTTTTAGAGCCTGGACGAGGAAAGAAGTAAATATGTTTATTTCTCTACCTACTCTAGAGTTCTGCCCTCTGTGTGTACTGGCTTTGGGGAGACAGAAGAGACCAGAGACGCTTTCCTGGGTGTAGAATGGAGGACTGGACTGAGATTCCTTGGATTATATTTTTAAACCTTTCTTTCTGATTATAAAAAGTAATACATGCTTACAGTAGAGAATTAGAAAAATGTAGAAGAGTATAAAGAAGGAAAAATGCCACCTATAATTTTAACACTCAGAGGGAACTACCATTAACATTTGGGTATGTTTCCTTCTGGTCTTTTTTATATGTATTTTAAACACATAATTGCTGTCACACTGTACAGTTGGCTCTTGAACAACGTGAGGGTTAGGGGTGCAGTCAACACTCTACATATAACTGTTGACTCCCCAAAAACTTAACTACTAATAACCCACTGTTGACCAGAAGCCCTACTAACATAGTTGATTAACACATATTTTGTATTTTATATATATATATATAAATAAAATAAGTGTATATTATATACTATCTTAGAATAAAGTAACCTAGGGAAAAGAAAATGTTATTAAGAAAATTATAAGGAAAATATGTTTACTATTCATAAAGCAGAAATGGATCATTATAAAGGTCTGTGTCCTCATCATCTTCACATCAAATAGGCTGAGGAGGAAAAGGAAGAGGAGGGCTTGGTCTTGCTATCTCAGGGGTAGAAAGGATTCGCTTATAAGTAGACCCATGCAGTTCGAACCCATGTTATTCAAGGGAAAAGGAAGAGGAGGGGTTGGTCTTGCTGTCTCAGGGGTAGAAAGGATTCGCTTATAAGTAGACCCATGCAGTTCAAACCCATGTAATTCAAGGGAAAAGGAAGAGGAGGGGTTGGTCTTGCTGTCACAGAGGCACAAAGGATTCGTGTATAAGTGGACCCATGCAGTTTAAACCCATGTTATTCAAGGGTCAACTGTATATATCTAATTTTGTATCTGAATCTATTGGCTTATCTTAATTTTCCTTAATTCAAAGTTTTCCATAAACATTGCATAGTTACATGATAGCCTTTTGTAGGGATGTATCATCCTTACCTAACCACTTGTGTATTGATGCTTCCTTTTTAATAATTGAGGGAGTAGTTATAGAGAATCATACAGTAGATATTTGTATGCATCAGTCTTAGTTCCTCATCTTTTGATTGTTTCTTCAGGATAGATTCCTGGAAGAGCAATTACTGGATCAAAGTATATGGAAAAATGTAAGGCTCTTGATGCATACTGCCAAAATGGTTTTTTAGAAATGTACCAATATCCATACATCACCTAAATACTGAACTTTCTTATTCTTTATTATGTAAAGAATTATATCAAGAATAAGAAAGTTCTGTATGTACTGATTTGGAAAGATCTCCAGAATTTGTCAAGTAAAGGTGCAGAACCATGTGTATAGTGTGCTCCTTATATGTGAAAAGGGAGGAAATTAAGAATTACATTTGTATATGCTCGTATTTGCCTGAAGGTATACTCTGAAGGCATGCAGAAATTAATGAAAGTGGTTACCTGCGGGGGTGGGATGATGGGGTTAAAAGCAGGGACAGGATAGGAGTGAAGCTTTTTTTTTTTTTGAGTTGGAGTCTCACTCTGTCGCTCAGACTGGAGTGCAGTGGCCGCTCCCGGCCACCGCAGCCTCAACCCTCTGGGCTCCGGCGATCCTTCTGCCTCAGCCTTCCAAGTAGCCAGAACTACAGGCGCGCACTACCACGCCCGGCTCATTTTTTGATTTATTGTAGAGATGAGGTCTCGCCAAGTTGCCCAGGCGGGTCTCGAACCCATGGGCTCAGGCAGTCTGCTCACCTCGGCCTCCCAAAGCGCTAGGATTACCGGCTGAGCCAATGAGCCCGGCCGGAGTGAAGCTTTTAAATATGTGTCTTTTTATATTGTTTGATTTTTTTTTTTGACCCATGTGAATGGATTACTTTTTCAAAGTATTGAATTAAAAAAAAAGAGCAAGAAATGTAAAAAAAAAAAAAAAAAAAATCAACATGTAATCTTAGTCTTCAGATATTCCTTCCCCTGCATACAGTGACCAAAGGAGACCTTTCAGTCACTGCAGGCTTAACTTGCACAGTCTTGCCATTTCCTATTGCCAACCTTCCCCTCAGATATTCTTGGACTTCATGTTGTGGGGCTTACCTTGTTTCCCAGGCTAAGCTACACCTGGACCTTAGCTTGCGATTCTGTTTCTCCATACCTCTCATGTGTGGCTACCTTGAGGTTCATCTCTGATCCCTCCCATGAAGTGCACTTCAGAGTAACTGTATCCTAGGAACACCAAAAGGGAGGTGTGTGGGGCCTAAAGACTCAGGATCAGAATCCTCTGGGTGAGAAGGGACCCAAGGACCAAGGGATAACCCTACACAGTGTGCCAAAGGGAGCTGGAGGAGGGAAGAACCCAGTTCTGAGGAGCCCACTCTCATGGAAGAAGTCTTTTGTGAAGTGCAGTCAACTTGCATGGAAGCCACTTAACTTGCTCCCTCACCTTTCCTCACCCTGGTCTGGGAGGGAGTGAGGGAGCCATTAAGGTTATCCACCTGGGTCACATGGGTTCTCAGTTCCCTACCTAGCCACCAAAATAAATTCCAGGTAAGATGAAAAGAGTTAAAGGACAAATAGAATTAAACTATGAGAAATAAGAAGGAATAGCTGAGGACATTTTATCAGTCCTCTGGATATAGAAGTGAAATGAGAAAGTGGAAAAAAATTACAAAGAAGAAAAAAGCTTGAGTTCTACAATAAAAATGTAAATCTTAGTACTCAAAAAAATGGCAAACAAATTAAAGGAGAGACAACCAACAGGTATCTCCTAGGGTTGCTGTTTGTTGTTTGTTTTGAGACAGAGTCTGTCATCCAGGCTGGAATATACTGGCTTGATCATAGTTCACTGTAACATTGAACTCCTGTTCCCAAGCAGTTTTCCTGCCTTGTCGCCTCCAAAGTGCTGGGATTACAGGCATGAGCCACCATGCCTAGCCTACTGGGTTGCTGTTGTGCTAGCTGTGAACCTGTGGCTGCTCAGCACTGAGTTCTGTCCTCACAAATAAAGAGACTGGTTTGTCCCCGTTGATCTCCCTGAGTTTCTTAACTTTTTGAGGGATGTGGCCCATGCTCACAACTGAGTTCCTCATACCTCTTGATACTGTCCTTTATCAAATACATGTTTTGCAGATGTTTTCTCTCACTCTGTGGCTTGTCTTAAAGTAGCAGTAATGGTGAAGTAGCAGAGGTTTTTCAGAGAAGTTTTAATTTTTGATTAGGTCCAATTTATCAGTTTTTTTCTTGTTCATGTATTTTGTGTCCTAAGAAATATTTGCCTAACCAAAGGTCACAAAAATTTTCTCCTCTATCTAAAGGGTTTATAATTTTAGGTTTTACATTTAGATCTGTGATCCATTTTGAGGTAGGTAGGTGTGTGTGTGTGTGTGTGTGTGTGTGTGTGTGTGTGTGTGTGTGTGTGTATGTGTATGTGTATGTTGCAGGATATGGATTAAGGTTCTTATTTTTTATGACTGTCCAATTGGTCTAGGACCATTTGTTGAGAAGACTATCCTTTCTCCATTGAATTGCTTTGGCACATTTGTTGAAAATCAATTGTCCATTTATGTGTGGGTTTATTACTCATGCCTCTTGTTTGACAGGCTCTGCCAGACCATGAGGATGAGATCCCGGACACAGTGCGGACTGTACAGCTCATTAAGGATCTGGCCAGGGAGATCCGCCTGGTGGAAGTAAGGAGCATAGGGCAGAGAAAATTTGGAAAGGGCTTGAGGCTCAAGCGGCAGATTAGGCCTCTGCAGTTGGCATGAGAGTCCAGGGAAAAAGTTGGGAAGACCCCACTAAGGACTCTAGTCATTTATTGAGTCATTCACATAATTACTATGTGCTTCGGGTGTGCCACACATTGGGCTAGGCTCTTAAAATACATAAATAAAATAGTGTCTGCTCACAAAAACCCCACAGCCTTAGTGGAGGACCCTGAGCAAAATTAACCTGAGTTTCAGTTTCCTCATTTCTAAAATGGGGATAATTGCACCTACTCAAGAATTGTTAAAAGGATTAAATAAGGTAATGTGGGTTGAGAATGGAGTATAGTGGTTGGCACATAGTAGATGGTCAGTAAATTCTCATAATGGCTCATGGCGGTAGTGGTGGTTGTGGTGGTGGTGGTGGTGGTGGTGGTGGTGGTGGTGGTGTGGTGGTGATGGGTGGTGGTGGTAGTTATAGTTATTGTTATTATTAATATTTTGACTCAGTCTCTGCATTCTGCAAAATGACAGTTCTCTCGGGTTGAAGATGATTACAAAGCCATGTTTCAACAGGTGGCATATACCACGAGGCAGTAAGGTATAGTGGTAAGAGACTAAGGAAAACCTGGATTCTGGTTCATGCTTTGTCACTTGCAAACCTTTCAGAGCCTCAGTTTCCTCATCTGTAAAGTGAGCATAACATCAACCATTTGGAGTTTTTGTTAGGATTAAGAGCTAATGTATGTAGAGCCCCTCGCACAGTGCCTGGCAGAGTAAGTACTCAATAAATGTGAGCTGTTGTTATTAATAGACTTTGCAGCAAAGAGAGAACTTGGTGTGGGATGGTGAAGTAGCAGAGGCACCAGAGAACTAGACTTGAGGATGTTTAAACTTGCCTTTAGCTCAGAAGCTGTAAAGTTCCATTTAGTGCCCAGGATATACATCCATGTTGAAGGATTGTCAGAGTGAGTGGGCTTCTAGCCTCACTGCTTGCAGGTGTTTCACTGCCTACATCATAACTTACACTATTTACCTCCAGCCTCATTTTCCTCTTCCCATCTGTCAAAATCCTTCAGGCTATTTAGTTAAAGGCTCATCTTTACTCCAGCTCTTCCCACTTAAAGTACAGAACTTTGGGCTGGCTGGAAAAGACTTCGAGATAAATTATATCCAGTCCATTGGCTTTCAAATTTTTTAAAGCAGTGGAATTATTTTTAAAAACGAGACCTTATGTGGAAGCCTGATATATACAACATATCAAAGCATATAACTTCTTTGAATAGAATTAAGGTGGGAGGCCTAGCTCCACTTGTTCCTCTTATCTGCCTTCCATCTACCTCTAGTTCCCGGTGTTTTCCCCCCAAAAGCTCAAAGGAGCCACAGAACATCTTTGAAAACCACTTTCCAGTCAAGTCCTTTAATTTTACAGCTGAACAAACAGCCTCAGAGTGGTTAGATAACTTTTCTGAGGTTACAGAGCTAGTTAGTAACAGAATTAGGACTAGAACCTCTCCTTCTCTCAAATCCGATAGTCCATAGAGTTTGAACCACACAGATTAGTACTTGATTATTTTCTGTCTTATGTCAGCTACTCTTTGGAGTTTTGTCTCTCCAATTTTGACAGTAGTACTGGGCTTTTCCTTTGCTCGTCTTCTCCTTACTTGTTAATGGCTGGGTAAAGAAATGCCACCCAATGCATTCTTGATGACTCATTGTATAAAAACTAGGGTGTGCATATGTGGAGCATCTGTAAGCCACTTCCATGGCAATACCACCTGTGCCAGGAACAGACCTCTGCTCTTAGTATCAGAAGGACCCTTGAGTAAGCTCTAACACCCTCGTGTACTAACACTCTTGTAGGACATCTTCCAACAGAACGTTGGGAAGACGAGCAATATCTTTGGGCTGCAGAGGATCTTCCCAGCTGGCTCCATTCCCTTAACCAGGCCAGCCCATTCCACTTCAGTGTCCATGTCCAGGCTGTCACTGCCCTCCAAAAGTGGTTCAAAGAAGAAAGCCCTGAAGCCCAAGGAACTCTTCAAGAAGGCAGAGCGAAAGGGCAAGGAGAGTTCAGCCTTGGGGTCTGCTGGTCAGTTGAGCTATAATCTCATGGAAACATACAATCATCAGGCACTGAAGACAGGCTCTTCCCAGAAAGCAAAGGTGGGTGCTGGCCCATGGGTTCAGCCCAACCCTTTTGGGTGTCCCTTGGAAGAGCAGGGTTTCAAAAGGCAGGCTATCCTGTCCTGCAACCACCTCCCTTAGGGCCCTGGTGTTTGGCTACTAGTCCCACTCATTTAATAGGCATTTATTGAGACCTTTTCTTTGCTGGGCACTGTGATAGGTGCTGTGTAACTCTCAAGAGGCTGACAGGCTAGTGAGGAAGACAGGCATAAAATAAATGAGTGCAATAAAGTATTGTGGATGCCACAATCAAGAGTGTGTGTGGGACCCTGAGACACAGAGGAGGGTTGATTCTATCTGGGTAGGGAAGATGGTTTGACACTTGAGCTGAATTTTGAAATTCTGGGACGGGAGTGAGACTTGAGAACATTGTGTATGAGTGTCAGGTTGGAGTCTTGGACAGGTCCTTGAGAAAAGCCCTCCCCTAGGGCTCCAGCTTGCCTCAAGAATACAGTGTCCTCCATGGGCATCTGAAGATGTTCCCCTACCCTTTTTAAGGGAATGTTTCACAAGATTGATAGGATTCCCCTGAGCTGGCCATATATTCTTAACCTCCTGCTCCTGTGATCAGTAAGGGTGGGGGGCGGGCAGTATAGCAGAAGGTCTTGGCTCAGGTGGTTTTGACTGTGAATTCAACTAGTGAAACCAGAGGGACCTGGCATCCTGATTCACTTGGGAGTCCCAGACAGATGACAACTGAGCCTCCTCCTTTTGCAGTTCAACATCACTGGTACCTGCTTGAATGACTCAGATGATGACTCACCAGATGTGGACCTTGATGGGAATGAGAGCCCCTTGGCCCTATTGATGTCTAATGGCAGGTGAGATTGGAAGAAGGAGCACAGAGATACTAGGACTGTCAGTGGAAATATGCCAAAAAGACAGAACATGGAATTGGGATCTAGGGATTGGGACATGGGTGGGGTGTGCTGTACTTGGGTTGATACCTAGATATTATCAGATATCATTGCTTATTTCAAAGAACCACAGTGGTGTTGAGGATAGGTGGAAGGAGAGATCTGGATTCTAGTTGACAGTCCTGAGAAAGATCTTATATAAATTCTAGGAATTTCAGCAAATCATTACATCAGAACCACTTGCAGAAATAAAAAGTCGTTAAAAAAAGAAAGAAAGAAATAAGTAGTAGTATAGCATATTTGTTAAAAGCATTAGTTTTTTTCTTTTCTTTTTAGAGACAGGGTCTTGCTCTGTTGCCTAAGCTGGAGTGCAGTGATGCAATGATAGCTCATTGTAACCTTGAACTTCAGGGATATTCCTGGCTCACCTTCCCAAATAGCTAGGACTATAGGCACAGACCATCATTCCTGGCTAGTTTTTAAATTTTTTGTAGATACAAGGATCTCAAACTCCTGGTTTCAAGCAGTCTTCCCTCCTTGGCTCTCCAAAGTGCAAGATTATAGGTGTGAGCCATTGTGCCCAGTCAATTTTTATTTTTTGAGTTAGAGTCTCACTCTCACACAGGCTGGAGTACAGGGCACGTTCATGACTCACCATAGCCTCGACCTCCTGGGCTCAGATGATCCTTCCGTCTTAGTGTCCCGAGTAGCTGGGTATTCACCACCATGCCTATCTTATTTTTAATTTTTTTTCTTTCTTTTTGTAGAGGTGAGATCTTACTACGTTACCTAGGCTGGTCTTGAACTTTTGGTTTCAAGCAATCTTCCCACCTCAGCCTCCCAAAAGTGTTAGGATTATGCGCGTAAGCCACTGTGCCTGGCCTGTATTTATTTATTTGTTAGCTCACCTCTGTCATTTCTCTTTCTTATTCTCCCTACTTTTTCTCCCATATTTGTTTTTTAAAAAGGCATGTGCACACACATTTATGTCTATGCATGTGTGGAAAAGCAATGTACAGGCGTTTTATTTTGAATTTCCTGAAGAGGCTTAAAAATTCAACTTACTCAATTTGAGATAAAAAACTGAAAGAACACATAGTAAAAAATCTCATACCCTTTGTCTTCCCCTGTTTCCTTCCCCATGGACAACCAGTATCTGTGATTAACACCCACTAGTATGGCTATAATTTAAAAAATGGAAAATGAGGAGTGTTGGCAACGATGTAAAGAAGTTGGAATCCTTGTACATTGCTGGCTAAAATGTAAAATGGTATAGACACTTTGGAATAATGTCTGGCAGTTTCTTAAAAAGTTAAAAATAGAGTTACCATATGACCCAACAATTTTACTTCTAGGTAAGAAATGAAAACGTGTCCAACCAAGATCATGTACACGGATGCTTACATTATTCATAATAGCCAAAAAATAGAAGTGATCCAAATGACTATCAACAATTGAATGGATAAACGTCTAGAAAAAGATAATCTGTAGAGGCAGAAAGTAGATTAGGGCTGCTTGGGCCTAGGGAATGAGAACCAAGGACTGACTACAGATGGGCACAAAAGATCTTTTTGGTGCAACGAAATTATCCTAAAACTGGATTGTGATGATAATTATACAGTTAAGTAAATTTACAAAAATACATTTAATTGTACACTTAAAGCAGGTTGTTTATTGTATATAAATTTTACCTGAAGAAGGTTGTTTAAAACTGTACAAAGAAAAAGGAAAAACTCAAAAGTGGCTCAGACAATCCTGTTACACGTGGTACATGATACTAACCAGTACAAACTGCTGGAGTAAACCTCATAAACAGTTAAGAAGAAACAAGTTTTTGGTAAGTCAGTAAATTGATACATTCAACCAATAGTGGTTTTGTTGAGTTGACTCTCAGTGAATTGATTGTCATTAAATTGACCTGTTTTCTACCTCACAGAGTTGTTGCAAGGATTAAATGACCCAATGCGGAGCCTGACACATGGCAAGTGCTCAGTGTAGCTAACATAATTATGAAGGTCTGACAATTAAGTTCACGAATTCATTCTAGAAAAAGTGCTACATCATTGCTGAAGATCACTATGGTAACCTTCAAAGTACTCCCCTTGGGAAGCTATGCACCGACACCACTGCCTAGTCAAAGCAGTTTTGGAACTCTTTTTCTAGAATGGCCATCAGAGCTGTCGTTGTGAGAATGTCGGAGTTTGAATTAGAGCAATGAGCAAACATAAAATTTCTTGTTAAGCTTAGCAAGAGTAGAATTAAAATTAGGGACATGTTAGTCTAAGTTTATGGTGATAATGTCATGAAGAAAATGGCAGTGTACAAATGAATTAAACATTTTTCTGAGGAGAGAGAACATGTCACTGATGAAGGAGAAGTCAGGATGGCCAATAACGAGCAGACCTGACAAACGTTGCAAAACTTCGTCAAATTGTGCCTCAAAATCTTCAGCTGCCTGTGAGAAGCACAGCAGACCAAATAAACGTTGATAGAGAAACTGAACAATTTCTTAACCGAAAATCTTGGCATGAGAAAGATGTGTTCAAAAATGGTCCCAAAGGAACTCCTGCATCACAGCAATGTACCAGCTCGCACAGCTCTGTCTGTGAGGGAGTTTTTAGCTAATAAACAAATAACTGTATTGGAACATTTTCTCTACTCACCTGATCTAGTCCCTAATGACTTTTTTCTTCACCCAAAGATAAAGAAAGTATTGAAAGGAAAAGATTTTGATAGCATTTAGGACATCAAGGACAATAAAATGACAGCTCTGATGGCTATTCAGAAAAAGAGTTCCAAAATTTCTTTGATGGGTAGACTAGGCGCTGGTGTTGGTGCGTAGCTTCCCAAGGGGAGTCCTTCCAAGGTGACTGTAGTGATATTCAGCAGTGAGGTATGTGGCACTTTTTCTAGTATGAGTTGGTGAACTTAATTCTCATGCCTCATAAGTTTTCTGGGTTTCAGTTTTCACATAAGTAAAATGAGAATAACAGTACTTAACCTTCTGGACTATTGTGAGGACTAAATAAAATAATGTATGTAAACAGTTAAGATAAACTTTGCCACAGAGCATATACTCAATAAATGGTAGCTATTATACTCTGATCTTTTTTTTTTTTTTTTTTTTTTGAGTTGGAGTCTCACTCTGTCGCCCAGATTGGAGTACAGTGGCCGCTCCCGGCCACCGCAGCCTCGGCCTGCTGGGCTCCGGCGATCCTTCCGCCTCAACCTTCCAAGTAGCTGGAACTACAGGCGTGCGCTACCATGCCTGGCTGATTTTTTGATTTATTGTAGAGATGTGGTCTCGCCAAGTTGCCCAGGTGGATCTCGAACCCGCAGGCTCAGGCAATCCACTCACCTCAGCCTCCCAAGGCGCAGGATTACAGGTTGAGCCACCGAGCCCGAGTACACTCTGATCTTTTATTAACTTCTAATTATGAAAAATTTCAGCTGGGTGTGGTGGTGTACCCCTGTAGTCCCAGCTACTCAGGAGGCTGAGGTAGAAGGATTACTTGAGCCCAGGAATTCAAGTTCAGCCTGAGCAACATAGCAAATAACTGTGTCTAATAAATTTTTTTAAGTTTAAAAAAAAATTTAAACATATATAAAAATATAAAAGTATAATGAACTCCCATATACCTCACTCAGCTGAGTTTCAGTAGTTATCAACACACAGCCTTGTTTCATCTATACCTCACTCCCTGCAAAATGCTCAATTTGGAGAAAACACATCATATCATCTGTAAATATTTCTTTTTTTTTAATTTTTAAAATTTTTTTTGAGTTGGAGTCTCACTCTGTCACCCATACTGGAGTGCAGCCTCGACCTGCTGGGCTCCGGCGATCCTTCCGCCTCGGTCTTCCAAGTAGCCAGAATTACAGGTGCGCGCTACCACGCCCAGCTAATTTTTTTTTTATTTATTGTAGAGATGAGGTCTTGCCAAGTTGCTCAGGCCAGTCTCGAACCCGCGGGGTCAAACAGTCCACTCACCTCGGCCTCCCAAAGCGCGGGTTTACAGGCTGAGCCACCGAGCCCGGCCTATAAATATTTCTATACCTTGACTCTCTAGGTAAACATAGCAGCAGCTTCTGGCAGCTGCTCTGGGTAATAAGCAGCACAAGAAACACAAGAAGGTCGGGTAGGGAAAAATGTCTCATTGTATCCCGAGTAGCCATTAGAAGCTGGACTCTGAGGATTCCGTTTTTCTCCTCTCCAGGAGACCTTCCATAAGTTCTGGACAAAGGCAGTGTTCAACAGTCTCTCTAATCTTACTCTTTTTAGTAACTGGGTTCTCAAACCCCAAGAATAACTCTGCTGCTTTCAGAATATGCCCTACTCCCATTCCCTTTCCCCTTATTTTCCATCCAGGTGGACCTGTTAAACTCTTTCTTGGATTTCTCCATATACTGGCTGACACTTACTATTTTTTGTCTTTTTGATTATAGCCATTCTGGTGAATGTAAAGTGGTATCTCTACTAAAAATTGTATATATTTAGGGTGTACAATGTGATGTGATATAAATCTACACTAAAATGATTACTGTAGTCAAACTGATTAACATATCCATTGCCTCACATAGTTACCATTTGTGTGTGTGTGTGTAGTGAGAACACATAGATCTACATTCTTTGGAAATTTCAAGTATATAATACAGTGTTATTGACTATAGTCACTTGCTGTATATTACATCTCTAGAACTTATTCATCCTACATAACTGAAACTTCATTCCCTTTGACCAATATCTTCCCCATCCCTGCCCTTAGTAACTACCATTCTACTTCTATGGGTTTGCTTCTATGAATTTGACTTTTTTAGATTCCACATACAAGTGAGATCATACAGTATTTTGTTTTTCTGTGTTTTGCTTGTTTCACTTAGCCTAATATCCTCCAGGTTCATCCATGTTGTGACAAATGGTAGGATGATTTTGATTTTGTATTATTCTAATGACTAATGAAGCTGAGCATCTTTTTGTGTGATTATTGGCCATTTGTATATTACCTTTGGAGAAAAGTCTATTCAGATTTTTTGCTTTTTTATTTAACATTTTTTTCTTCTCTTTCACAGGTGGTGCTTTGCTTGTTTTAAAATTGTCTTGTTTGTCTTATTATTGAATTCTAGAGTTCTTTTAAATATTCCAGATACAAATCCTTTACCAGATAAATGATTTACAAATAGTTTTTCCAAGTCTGGGGCTGTCTTTTCATTTTTTTAGTGGTTTATTTTAAAGCATGTGAGTTTTTTATTATAAAGATGTGGGGTACAATTCAGGGTTAGGTATACAAATGTTGCTTATGCAGGTAACCTTGTTAATGAGGTGTGCCCCTCCCTCCCCTAGCAGTTTCCCTTAACTGCCAATCCCATCCCCCGTCCACTGACAGTTTCCCACTACTGCCAATTCCTTTCATATAGTATTATAATTGTTCAAGGTCCGCTTATGAGTGAGAACATATGGTACTCTGTTCTTTGTTTCTGTGATAGATCACTGAGTATGAACGACTCTAAATCCATCCAAGTTGCTGCGAAGTCCATATGTTTGTCCTTCTTTATGGCTGCATAATATTCCATTGTGTATATGTACATTTTTTTTTGTCCTGTCCAGCTTCGATGGGCACATGATTGGTTCCATGTTTTTGCTATTGTGAATAGAGCTGCAACAAACATACGTGTGCAGGTATCTTTTTTGTAGAATGATTTGAGTTCCTCCAGGTATGTTCGCAACAGGGCAATTGCTGGGTCATATGGAAGGTCAATTTCTGGTTCTTTCAGAAATCACCACACTGTCTTCCAAAGAGGTTGCACTAGTTTGTATTCTCACCAGCAGTGTAGAAGCGTTAATTTTACCTAATCCCAGGTTACAGTGATATTTTTCTGTGTATTCTTGTGGAAGTTTTATAATTTTGGCTTTTATATTTAGATCTATGATGAATTTCAAGTTTTGGTTTTTTTTTTAATCAGAGTCTAACTCTGTCATCCAGGCTAGAGCGCAGTGGCACACTCACGACCACTGCATCCTTGACCTGCTGGACTCAGGCAATCCTTCCACTTTAGCCTTCCAAGTAGCTGGAGCTACAGGTGTGTGCCACCACACCCAGCTGATTTTTTGGTTTATTGTAGAGATGAGGTCTCGCCATGTTGCCCAGGCTGGTCTTGAACCCATGGGCTCAGGCAATCCTCTCGCCTCAGCCTCCTAAAGTGCTGGGATTACAGGCGCGAACTGCTGCATCTGTCTTCAAGTTAATTTTATGTATGACGTGAGGAAAGGGTTCATTCACACTCATTTTTGTTGTTGTTGTTATATGTGGATATTCAGTTGTCTCAGCACCATTTGTTGAAAGGACCATCTTTTTTTGTTTTTTTTGAGTTGGAGTTTCACTCTGTCACCCAGGCTGGAGTGCAGTGGCATGTTCACGGCCACCACAGCCTCAACCTGCTGGGCTTAGGCGATCCTTCCATCTCAGCCTTTCAAGTAACTGGAACTACAGGCGCGTGCTACCACACCCAGCTTATTTTTTTATTTATCGTAGAGATGAGATCTCGCCAAGTTGCCCAGGCTGGTCTCGAACCCATGGGCTCAGGCAGTCCTCTTGCCTCAGCCTCCCAAAGTACTGGGATTATAGGCTGAGTCACTGCGCCTGGCCAAAAGGACCATCTTTTTTCCCCACTGAATTGTCTTGACATCTTCATCAAAAATCAGTTGACCATACATTTAAGGGTTTATTCAGGACTCACAGTTCTGTTCCATTGATCCATTTGTCTTTCTTTATGTTAATATCACACTGCCTTGATTGCCATAGCTTTAGAGCAAGTTTTGAAATTTTTAAGTTCTCTGACTTTGTTCTTTTTCAGAATTGTTTTGTCTATGTTAGGTCTTTTGCATGTACATGTACATTTTACTATCAGCTTGTTAATTTTTACCAAAAAGCTGGTTGGAGTTTGATAGGGATTACATTGAATCTGCAGATCAACATGGAGAGAATTACCATCTTAACATTATTGCATGTGACTATTTTATGTCTCCTTCCCTTTTTCTTCAGTACCAAGAGAGTGAAGAACTTATCCAAGTCTCGGCGAGCCAAGATCACAAAGAAGGCAGACAAGGCTAGGCTGGTAGCAGAACAGGTGATGGAAGACGACTTTGACTTGGATTCAGATGAGGAGCTGCAGATTGACGAAAGATTGGGAAAGGAGAAAGCAACCCTGATAATAAGACCAAGTATGTCTCTGTTCTTTCCTTTTCCTTTCCTGGCCTGTTTTACATTTGTTTTACTCAGGACCTTAGACTTGAGCTTGTTGATGTTCTGCTATAGTAGACTCTATAGGCCTCCATTGTTTCCTTTGTTTTAGAGATTTGTCAGCTGATCCCTAACTTCTCTAAATTAGTCATCTGTAGTCATTATTTTCAAGAAAATTAGTCTTATTTTCCTTCCTCTGGCTCAAATTAGCTTCATAATAAGTGCATTCCATTGTTTTCTAGAATTTCCCCGGAAATTGCCCCGTGCAAAGCCTTGCTCTGATCCAAACCGAGTTCGTGAACCAGGAGAAGTTGAATTTGACATTGAGGTAAGAGCCTGCCCTGTATCTAGGCTACTGCTCATTCTGGTCATAGAGACAGAGAAGACAGATTGTTATTCTAGTTTAGAGAGGTAGGGGAGGGGGAAGATACCCTATTCATTCAATTTCTGAAGTATTTATTAAGTGAAAGATTGTGTGCCAAGTGCTCCTGAGCATATAAATGGAAGATTACAATTTAGTTGAAATATTTTTTAAATTCTTTAGTACAGAGTAGATAAAAGGCAGTATGACATAGCAAGAAGAGTATCTGTTGTGACCTTACACAAATTATTTAACTTCATTGAGCTTTGATTTTTTTTTGTTTGTTTAAAATGGGAGTTATAATACCTCACAAAGGTGCTGTGGAGATAAATATGAAAGAATGAATATTTTGCCTAGTGTTGGGTGTATACTTGGTGCTCAGAAGATATTAGTATTAGGAGTCAAACCATCAATCCGATTATGGGGCATTACCAGATCAGCCCTGGGTAGCTGAGGTGATATGCTGTCTCCCCAACAGGAAGACTATACAACAGATGAGGACATGGTGGAAGGGGTTGAAGGCAAGCTTGGCAATGGGAGTGGAGCTGGTGGAATTCTTGATCTGCTCAAGGCCAGCAGGCAGGTGGGGGGACCTGACTATGCCGCCCTCACGTAAGTACTGGCTTTGATCTCCCCTTTCCAGGCTATCAGACAGCACCCCCCTCCCACTCAAGGAGCTAGGTCAGCTATTCAGCAGATATTTCCCAAGTAATTTAAAGAGACAAAGAATTATCTGGGACATTTGGGCTGAAAGGATGAAGTAGACATGGAACCTGTCCTAAAGGAACTTAACATCTGACTGTGATAGAATGTATAGACTTCGAGAGGAATCAATTTTGGATGCTTTGGAAGTTGGAAGAGGGGCTGGAAGAGTCATGGAAGAACTGATGAAAAATAAATGAAAGGAAGCCGGATGCAGTGGCTCATGCCCGTAATCCCAGCACTTTGGAAGGCTGAGATGAGAGGATCATTTGAGCTCAGGAGTTCAAGATCAGCCCAGGCAATATAATGAGACCTCGTCTCTACAAAAAATAAAATTATCTGGGCGTGGTGGCACATGCCTGTAGTCCTAGTTGCTCAGGAAGCTAAGGTAGGAGGATTTCTTGAGCCCAGGAGTTTGAGGCTGAGGTGAGCTATGATCGTGCTTCTGCATTTCAGTCTGGGTGACAGAGTGAGACCCTGACTCAAAAAAACAAAATAAAAATAAAAGGAAACAATGCAGCATGGGTGAACAGGGAAGGAGGTGAGCTTCTCCTTTTTCATTTTGCCTTCTTGCCTGCTGTCTATGGAGAGACTTAAGGCAAGAAGGGTTGGCTTTTTAGGAAAACCATCTTTGATACAATCTTAATCTTTTAGCTTGATTTCTAGTTTTTCTGCTTTAGATGGTTCTCAACTTCTTCCCACTCTGATACCCACAGCTGCTGTCCCTCCTCCCTGAGTATTTTGATGACTGTTTTCCTCTGGCAACTATAGAAATTCCCTCAGCATTTCTCCTGTGTCCCTTGCAGCGAGGCCCCGGCCTCTCCCAGCACTCAGGAGGCCATCCAGGGGATGCTGTGCATGGCCAACCTGCAGTCGTCATCATCATCGCCGGCTACCTCCAGCCTGCAGGCTTGGTGGACCGGGGGGCAGGACCGAAGCAGTGGGAGCTCCAGCAGTGGACTGGGCACAGTGTCTAACAGTCCTGCTTCCCAGCGCACCCCAGGGAAGCGGCCTATCAAGCGGCCAGCATACTGGAGAACTGAGAGCGAGGATGAGGAGGAGAACGCCAGTCTGGATGAACAGGACAGCTTGGGAGCATGCTTCAAGGACGCAGAGTACAGTAAGGGCAACTAAGCATGTGGGTCCAGGTCTCAGTTCCAGTCTCAATTCCAGTTCCAATAGAGCAGTGATCCCCATCCTTTTTGGCATCAGGGTTTGGGATTCATAGAAGATAGTTTTTCCATGGATAGGGGTTGAGGAGGATGTACAGTCAAACCTTACTGCCAATGTTAATCTGTATTTCCCCAGCACTAGCATCACCACCTCAGTTCCACCTGAGATCAGCAGGCGTTATATTCTTGTAAGGACCGTACAGCCTAGATCCCTCACAAATACAGTTCACAATAGGGTTCACATTCCTTTGAGAATCTAATGCTGCGGCTGATCTGACAGAAGATGGAGCTCAGGTGGTGATGTGAGCGATGGGGAATGGCTGTAAGTACAGATGAAACTTTGCTCACTCACCTGCTACTCACCTCCTGCTGTGCAGCCTGGTTCCTCATAGACCACGGACTGGTACCGGTCCATAGCCCAGGAGTTGGGAAACCTGCAATAGAGGACAGCTTGTAGTGAGCAAAGGCCTGACTTTAAGCCTGATATTTTGTTTCTCTGAGCCATGTTTTCCTAACCTTTAAAATGGGGATATCTCATAGGTTGATGTCCAGATTAGAGATTATGCTTGCACAGAACATCTGGCTCAGTTCCTTGCTCATGGGAAGCCCTCAAAAATGGTAGCTATTATAATTAGCTGTCATGTACTTTTAGTGCTGTCCAACTTTCACTGCTAGTGACTGTTTTTCTCTTGCCTATTTTACTCCATCATCTGTATCATCTGTGCTCTATGTTGGCCATTTCATCCCTTGCAAAGGTATATAATGGCCTTCCAGTGGGCTTTTTATATTTAAGAGATGATTTTTTTTAAGCCAGGATTTATTGAGGACTGCAATGTATAAATAACTTTTTTGGTATGATACGGGTGATTGCAATGTAGAATTTTGTTTTAATATTACTTCAAAAATTACACAAATATAATCACTGCTTAATGATCAAACATAGAACAAGACAGAGAAAGCAAAAATTTCTTTTGACTCACGCTTTTCCTCTCTGAACCCAAAGATAATCTTTGTTACCAGTTTGACATATACCTTTTATTTTGTTGATTTTACACCCACACCTATATGTAGGTAGAGGTATAGTTTTGTTTAGTGTGTGTGTTTCTGCAACTTGCTTAGTTATCTTTCAACATTAGTACATAGAGATCTACCTGCTGTATAACATTCTGTAATGTAGATGTATATCATGTTTGATCATTCCCTACTGATTGACATTTGGATTTTTTTTTAATTTGATATATTTAGGATTTTTTTTTTTTTTGAGTCAAAGTCTCACTCTGTTACCCAGGTTGGAATGCAGTGGCAGGCCATTGGCCACCACCGCCTCGAACTGCTAGGCTCAAGCAATCCTTCTGCCTCAGCCTTCTAAGTAGCTGGAACCACAGGCATGCGCCACCATGCCCGGCTGATTTTTTGATTTATTGTAGAGATGGGGTCTCGTCGTGTTGCCCAGGCTGGTCTTGAACCTCTGGGCTCAGACAGTCCTTTCACCTCAGCCTCCCAAAGTACTGGGATTATAGGTGTGAGCCACCACGCCCTGTTTTTGGGTTACTTCTAAGTTTTTACTTTTATTAACAATGCTGCAATGAAAATTCTTATAATAACCTTTTGTGCTTTTGTGACTTAATACCTTTGGAGCAAATAGACCTGTTGTGCTGAAGGGTATGTTAATAAATATGAGCCCAAGCCAGACTCGGTGGCTCAGCTTGTAATCCCGCGCCTTTGGGAGGCTGAGGTGAGTAGATTGCCTGAGCCCACGGGTTCAAGACCTGCCTGGGCAGCGAGACCTCATCTCTACAATAAATAAAAAAATCAGGGCGTGGTAGCACATGCCTGTAATTCCGGCTACTCGGAAGGCTGAGGCGGAAGGATCGCCGGAGACCAGCAGGCGAGGCTG